AGCAAATTATCTGCAAGGAACCTACCTGAAGAATCCCTGAAGGTGGGAAAATTTCCATCTGTGGGTTCTCTCCTGCTTGCCAGTGAGTTACACTTCCATGTCTGGTACCTTCCATAGCCCCACATGACATTGCTGGTTTGGATGAGCCCTACCACTATTCCCAATGGCTGGTCCACTCTATGTAGCTCAGTAAGTACAGGACTGGAGCCAGAGGTTCAGGTAAGTCAGGGAAGAAGCCTGAGAAGATCCCAGAAGAGGTTTGCAGGCAGCAGAAATAAGAGGAAGACTAATGGGAGCTGCAGTGGGTATTGCTTTAATACAGGGCAGAATTTAATACAGGGCAGAGGAATTGTAACTTCTCCAAAGCAGCAAGTGCCATCATCACCCAAAAGGAGAAATCCAGTTGTGTTAAAATAATTTCATAGACAAAGCAATGCAGACACAGAAATTAGAGATGGAGAAGTAGCATTATGTCATCTCTCCTTTCCTTCTGGCCAGTTACTGGGCTGATTTCCTATTCTCTCATGCTGGTAAAATGACTTCAGCAACTTGGTTTCTGCTCGTTCCCATGGGAAACTTCCACAGTCTATAGATTTCACTGGTAGGAAACTCTTCTTGACAGTCAGACTGTATTTTCCTTTACTCAATTCTACCACATCACTCCTACTTATGCCTCCTTGGAGCACCCTAAACACTCTTCTCCATTGAAGTCAGTGCAGTTATGCGAGCAGTAAATTTGGCTCGTGGCACTTGGAGAAATAGATATTAAAACCCCAGGGACAAATTAGGGAGCAAGGGGAGGAAGGGCAGTGGGGGAAAGGAAATGGTTTCAGGTTAAGAGAAACAAGATCTCTTACACTGCTATAGAGCAGTGCTGCCCATGGCCCTGGTGGGACCATGCCCAGGACAATACAGCAGGACACTGTGAGAGGCAACAATGTCTCTGGGGTCTCCCTAGGATGTTACAAAGCCAAAGCTGAGGGCTCTAAGGCGTTATGTGGAGCTTGGATTTGGGTGCAGAGGCGTTGCATAAAGCCCTGGGCACCTGCCTTGCCAGTGGCTGAACTGTTTTGAGTCCCAGTGATAGTACCCACAGTCACCCTATAGCCTGTCTCCCCCAGCTGGGATGGCCACTGCCTGCTGGTCCAGAAATCCTGATCCAAGAACACTCACTGCAAACTGTGCCTCTGTGTTAAAGCACATGTGTTTTTCAGGACAAAATCCCAAATGTCCTCATGCCTTCCCCCCAGCTCTTACCTCACTATTGTGATGTTAGGATAAGTCCAGCAGATGTGTGCAGTGGTGGAGAGTAGGCTGTTGACAGACACACAAGATTTATCCATCAGTGATCCTCAGCTCCTGTGTGCTCTGGAACTGCACAGGGTGCACTGCACAGAACGTGTGTGGCAGAGGTGTGGGGAGGAGACAGCAATAAGGATTTACTAGGGTGGGAAAAAGTGGAATAAAGGAGTGCAGGACTTCTCTTCCTGGGACCCTGCAAGGGGGAGAGGGCTGAGATGGTTCTGTGACTGAGGAACATCTCAGAGTATTGCAATAAGGACAAAATCCCATTATAGATACACAAGGATGGATGAGGAATGTAGAAGTCTCATACCAAAGCCCTGCACCTCAGTGTCCTGAGTGCTGTGTGTTCCCAAAAGGGAGTGGTGTTTGCTGGTCACTCCTCCCTGGCCAGGTCACTGTACAGCAGAGCACTCCAGGGTTACATGGTCTAGAATGTCTTATTTTCCCATGATCATGCACTTGATTAGCATCATGAAATGGTGAGCTTCTTTTCTCAAAACAGAACTTTAACCATGTCAGGAAAACTGCACCCTGTATGGATTAGGACCAAGAACACACTGACTTGATTTTGGGTACCTGCTCCTGTTTATCACCCCGTCAGGGTTCCTGCAGATCTCTGAAGTGTGTGACACCTTCAATCTTTCAGAAGAAGGAGCATTCCAGAGCATTTCAGAAATGGCCTCTTCAGTATTAGAAAAATAATATTTGCTACAAGGACATACAGATTTTCTGACTGGGAAGAGGTAAAGCAACAGGGTGAAACTCAGTATCCAGTCAGGACAGGAGAAGTGCTGGAATCTGCTTCCTTGTGTCAGACTCTAGGAAAATGCTGGAAAGAACATGGCTGTATCTGTAGGACACATGGCCTGGGAAGAATCCCCCAGGGTGGATGTTGGTTAGGTAAGCCAACAGACCTCACCCTTCCTCTCTCATCACTGTGGATTTGATCACAGAATCACAGAACAGTTTGGACTGGAAAAGACATTAAAGATCATCTCATTCTAGCCCCCTGCCATGGGCAGGGACATCTTCCACTAGACCAGTTTGCTCCAAGCCCAGTCCAGCCTTGAACACTTCCAGGACTGGGACATCCACAGCTTCTCTGGGCAGCCATCATCTTGGTTTGAAGGCCTGCTGGGTTCTCTGCTTTCTGCCCTGGTTTAATAAGTGCATTTTACAGACCTGAGCACTCTCCAGGCCCATCTCAACAGTGCTCCAGTAAGTGCTACCCTTGTCAGGAGCTGCACCTTCCCAATGCCATCTGTCTAATCAATAATCATCGAGAAATAGGATATGGAAACCGTACTGATGCAGCTCAATTAGTTATTGATTAACCAGCCAGCAAGACAACCACTGCTCTGATTCTAGGGCACGGAGCAAACCCAGCTGTGAATTTTTGGTTGTGCCTGTCCCTTTCTAACTCTCTTCAAAATTTTTCTTGCCCTATGCCCCCATCTGTGGCCAGAGCACACATGCTTCTGCCACAACTGCTGCCTGAGGCATGTTAAGCAAATTCCAGGAGCCGGAAGCAAGTGTTGAGCATAGCTGGAGCCCTGCTCTTGAGATGGCAGCAGGAGTGGAGGTGACCTGTGTTCTGCCAAGCAACAGGCAGGCTCCTGCTGCAGGCAGTGGGTCAGTCTGGAGGGTGGAGCCACAATTGGCTCCCAACCCAGTGGTCAAAACCTCTCTCACCCACACTCTGTGTTCCAGGCAGAGCCCAGCCCTCCTCCTGATGTACCTCTGCATGGATGCTCTTTCTGATCACTTATCCATTTGCAATTCCCAGGGGGAAAACTCCTGACATCCAACTGTTGAAGATACAATTCCAGTAAAACCTATCTTGGGGCTATTTTTCTTAAAAAGCCAATCCAACTTTTACAAGCTACAGCTGACAAATATTTAAGGCTTAAACCAACTTTCTGTGACATTTTGTTGACGTTATCCTGGCTGGTGCTGGGGGATGTAAGGAACAGGGAGAATTATTCCATCTGAATGGTTTCCCTGTTAGCTCATGGGTGTGGGAATGTGCAGTGGAGCAACCCATGCGTGGAAGCAGCAGATTTTCTGTTTGAAATTGTAGGAAACACCAAATGCAGAGGTGAGTAAACCTGGGTGCAGGAGAGGCACACATGGAATGATGGCTGCCCACAGCTGTGATTCATGCATTGCCGGGAACTGTCCTCTTTAATTCCCTTCATAATTACCCACCTGGGCCAGCTGGCAGAGCTTTGCCAGCACACAGAGGGAAACTGGAAAGCAATTCCTCCTTCCTCCTGCCACAGCTTGGCACCTCCATCTCTGCTTGGTTTGGCATCACTCTTCATACCACAGAGCCCAGCAGTGCCACCTATTTTATCTCACCGCAGAGAAACATTGGAATTGTTTGCTGTTGACAATGTACCTGGTCCTGGGGAGAATGAGGATGAATGACACTGGTACTGATGGAGATTTGGGTGGCCCAAGCTCGGCATTAACCCACTGAGCAACTTTTAGAAAGTCATACACCTCTCAGGATCTTATTTCCTCTCTTCCATCTGCTTGGTTTAATTAGTTTGTAAACTCCTGTTTATAGTTTCAGATTATTTGACAAGATTCTCACACCACAGCCAGTGTGATGGAAACAGTTCACTTTTGCACAACAATTCAGGAATTGATGTACACTTGATTATATGAATAAGTCAGGATTATACTGCTGCTTCTGACACATAAAATTAAGGATCTTCATTATGAAAAGATTCTCCTCTTGTTTGGGAGAGAATTTAAAAATAAAATAAAGAGGTTTCAGCAAAACCTTACTCTAAGTGCTCTGAAAACAGCAAAATCTGTACAAATGTTTATGAATCTTTTAATAAAAACATGATAGAAAAGCTGCACAAATGCAGCTGTAAGCTGTGTGATTGCTGTGAGAATTCTGGCTAAAGCACTTCTATGGAATCCCCATACCTGGAGAATGCCAGAGTGATCTGATTCTGGAAAGGAGGGTCCCACAGCTAATGGTATTGGAGGAAGTATCTCCTCAGACAGATGCTCTTAATTTGCCTTTCAGGACCTGTTCTGCTGGCTTTGGTTTCTGTGTTACTCCCATAATGTGGACTATGGCAAATCTCACCAGGAATTTTCACAGGCATGAATTTCAGAAAATACAGCATGACAGAAAGTGCAGCTGGTTGAAAAGCCAATTCATCAAAAGAATAGGCAAATCATAGTATCACAGAATAGTTTGTGCTGGAAGGGACCATTAAAGGTCACATAGCCCAGCCCCTACCATAGGTGGGAACACCTTCTGCTGGACCAGGTTGCTCCAAGCCCCTTCCACCCTGGCCTTGAATGTTTCCAAGGATGGGCCATCCCCAGCTTTTCTGGGCAACTTCAGCAAGTGTTCTATCACCCTCATTGTAAAAAAAATTCAAAAATTCTCCCTAATATCTAATCTAACCCTTCCCCCTGTCAGTTTAAAACCATTATCCCTTGACTGTGGTAAACGGTTTGTCCCCACCTTTTTTATAACCCCCCACCTTAGGTACTAAAAGACCACAATAAAGTCTCCCTGGGAAACCTTGCTACCCAAATGTTTGGGGGTAAGGAGGAGAAAGGAATGAGCGACATGTCCCCAACACCATAATGCCTCCAGTGCCTGACCCCCAGCTCGCGATTCCCTGCAGCCGTGGGGGGAACAAGGCACGGCACACCCCTGTATGGCAGCGGATTTGCAGCCCCCGGACCCCTACGGGAGCCGCTCCGGGAGTGTCCAGCGGGCCCGCGGCAACCTCGCCACGACGGCGGGCGACAAGGCCCCGCCCCGCCGCTGCCTCTGCCTGCGCTGCCGGCGGC